GCACGACGATTCATGCGACACGCAGCGCGTGAGTGAGCGCGTGAGGCAAGAAATAAGCGCGCGGGACGTGTTCGCCTCATCAGTCGATCGCGGTGCGGGCGCTCGGATACGCTCAGGTGTGCATCGTCGCGTGTCGAAATAAAAAAAAGTCCGACGTCGGCACAGCGAGCCGCGAGAGAAACGAACGGCCGGTCGGCGGCGGCGACAACCGTGAGTGAGGATCGTTAGGAATAATTAAAGACGTGCCGAGACACCTCGTGTGCCTGTGAGGAGTGAGGGGAACGAAGCCCGAAGACGTCAGAAATGCAATCGCGGATCATCGGCACTGCATTTGACAGCCAGTCGCCGCCGCATTTCGTCGCGAGGATGCTCGTTCTCGCGATTGTCTGCGGCGGACTCCTCCTGGAACGAGCCGACGCGCAGTATCATGACGATCCCGATCACATAGCCTTCCCCGGGCCGGTCGGCCCGAGATCGAGGGACAGGGCTCTTGATAATGAGCCCGCGAGGGCTTCCGCAGATGACGGCGATACGGTAAATTGGTACAGATTCACTCCGCCTTTGAATTAAGTCCGCGCGGTGTTGCTTGAAATTTAAATTGATTTGAATAATACTAGTTTTTCTTGTTCTTTTTTTTCTTTTTCCGGAGCGACCTGCGTCGAAAGACAAACGTTGATTTCTGTAACGAAAAGAATGGTTTCACGCTAAAGTATCTAACAATTTTGCCAAATGAAATCAAATTGAACCAACAAAAGTTGTTTTCAACAAGAGTAGCATTTTGTTGGGAACAGAATTTCTAGTTATGACAGTTATTCCGTTTGACCTCACTAAAAACGTCGTTCTTGTTCGTTGATTCTTTTCTTCATTTAATCAGGATATTTTTCTCACAGTGTATAGATCTGAACATTATTTTGTTAGATCATCAAAATAATTATGTTAGTCGCTCAAGCGGTCGGTAAAATGTAAACATTTTTTACAGCGTTGCTCATTATGCTTGAATTTCCTATATAATCATTTTGATAGTTTCGACAAAGTTATTTTCAAATCCGTATCAAATTGATTTTTTTTGATACTTCAGTAAAATTTTGCTTTTTGCGTATAGTTTGATATAAATAATACGTTTATTAGCACAGAATATCATATATCTATTTTGTCTTGTCATAATCTTCCCAGTTCCTCTCTTTTTACTTGATCTTCAAAAATAACGCGCGTAAATCAATGACGCGTGTTGTAACACTTTCATTTCCAAGACTCACTTTCCGCAATGAGACCGAAGCCATGCCGAAGGCTGAATTTGTCAATGTCGAGGATATCCACGATGAAATAATCGCAGTGTTGCGACTTGCGATTCTTGGCACGATGTGAAAACGTATCGCACGTCATCTTGCAATTGTGCAAATACCGGATCGATTAGCCTCGGAAGTTCTGCTGCTATTTTCTTTCAGTTAGCGCATTACTACTAAATCGCGATAAAAATGCAAGTCCGATCCGAGAAATTTTTTAGGTCTGTTAACTACATTGGAAGTTGCTCTATATTTGTTTCAACCTATTACATCAGTGTACACCAATTCAGAAAATTCTTCGAAAAAGAACCTTTTTCTCTGCTTGTCTTTCTCCCCCTTCCCCCTCCCTCCCCCTCT